GCCTGCGGGGCTGCCCGAAGCCGACCTGCAGCTGCGAAAGCGGCAGCCCGAGAAAGGCCGGTGCCAGGCAGGGAGCCACACAGAAGTCTCTCCGGGTTGCCCTGAGCCATGACACCAGATGGAGGCCTGGTTTTATGGTGCATGGCGGCGGCGAGCGGGACCTCCCCCCTCTGTCACTCCTCCCACGGGCTGGGAAGGGGAAGCCACCTCCCCGCTGGTCCGCTTTTCTGGCAACAGCTCTCGCTGCAGCCTTGGATGGTGGGGAAAGGAGCCGTCCCAGGCAACCCCCGTGTGGGGACAGTGTGGGGACATGGGGGTGCAGGAGAGGCAGAGACGCAGCCGGTCGCTGTGGCATGCACTCTGGGTAAACAAACACTGCCCTGACCGTTTGCGGCTCAGGTTATCCGGATCAGCCCAGCCCTGTTTATGCTGGTACCTGGGAGCACACATGGCTGCTCCAGTGGCACCCGGCATCGCCCGGTTATCCGGATCATCCTCTGTGCCGCTGGGCTGGACATGTCGGCACAGTGTCCCCATAGCTGTGGCTTGCTCCTGGACCATTGGAGTCCCGGGGTCAGCGGGACCCCAGTGTGAGGAGCACTGCGCTGCTGGGGTATTGCTGGTGCCGGGGTGGTGGGACGGGTTAGGAAAAGGCTGTCCCTGGCAGCAGGAGGCACAGACCAGGTGGCTCAGGAGGACACCGCTGGGTCCCGGCACACTTGGACAATCTGGGGGCTGCAGGGGAAATTTGCTCCCCTATGTCCAGGGAGCTTCGACCAGGAGCTGAGCGAGGCACAGGTCTGCAGAGGGGCCAGGCTTTGCAGCTGAAATGGTTTTAACCTTCTAAAATTCTCAGTATGTTTGCAATAAGTCCAATAAAGCTCTTTCTGTCCCTCGCTGTTGGCAAGGGCTGATCTCCACCTGGGGCAGAGGCGCCGTGCTGCCAACCCACACTTTGTGCCTACCTGTTGGAAAGCATCAAAAGCATCTCTTACCAGGCAGAGGGATCAGCGCGGGGATGGCAAGGAGGCAGCACTGGCAGTGCTACCCTCCCTGCTACTCTCTCAGCTGGCTTCTGGCTCTTTTGCAAACTCTGCAGGGACTGCTCAAGGGCGACATGTACAGTGAACTTCTCCCAGCTCTCAACCCCACGGCTGTGCTATGAAACCTCACTGTAGGTTGCCTTCGAATTCGCCCTTCTCCCTCGGCAGCTACAAGAGATTGCACAGCCCTGGACTTTGCCCCCACTGTGCTTGGGCTCATGGCCTGGCCAAACTGTGCCGGCAGTCACAGGGGACCGCGGGAGTGAGCCAGGGTCAAACCATGGCATTTTTGTCAGGATCGGCTTGTCGATATCTGCGGGAAAGCCATGGTCCTTTGTGCCCAGTGAGCACCCAGGACAGACAGCATGGTGGGCAATACAGACAGACACGTCTGCTCTGGGCTTTCACAGCAGGCAGAGGTGCTGTGGGACAAGCTGAGCAGAAAGCACCCATGTCCTCCTTCCTATCAGCGGGCTGGCACCCGTGCTCAGAGGAGCGGTGATAAGCATAAGCACAAGCACAAGAGGAGACCAAAGGTCTCACTGGTGGAGGTGGGGAGAAGCAGAGCAGAGGTGAGAGGGCGGCAGAGCAGCCTGTGACCCAGCAGGGCTATGCACTGGTGATGGCGGGTGCCACCAAGCAGCTCATGGAGGGTCTTGCAAGTGAGGTGGGAGCAACTTTTGGCAGCACATGCGTGTGGGAACAAGCCACAGGTGCACAGAGTTGCTGCCGTGCTCCTCTGTGGCCTGGAGAGGAAGACCCCAATGGCTGTAAGAACCGCTTGGACAAAAAGCATCCCGTGTTTGGGAGAAAGTAGAGCTAAGATATTTTGGCACTGCTCAACAAGCCCTGATTGCCCCAAACCCTGACCACAGCAGAATGTGCCACCTGCCTGTGATCCCACAGTCACCACAGATCTCATCTTTGCCTTGGGGCAGAAGAGCTGGCTGGAGTGGCCAGGTGCTGCTGTGCATATGCCGGACTGGCCCAGCTGGCTGCCAGGCATGCAATGCAACCCAGGGGATTATTTTTTTTTGGGTCACTGGAGTGCAAACCCACAGCTGGCAGCTTAACTGGCTCACCATGCTGGTGGGTCAGGGCTCAGTTCTGGGGGAACCTCGTCAGGGACGGTGGGTGACAGACAGAGATGGGGTGCTTGTATCAGCAGCCCTCAGGCTGCTCCTGCACACTTCGCCCAGAGGAACAGCACACTTAAACACTGCCTGGTTTTAATATGACTTCATCTGTGCTTTCCAGGGTGCGAGCACACTAACAGACCTTCATGGCCATGAGGAGCCTCACCTGGAACCAATTGTCCCCACCTACGTGCCAGGAGCACCATTTAAGCTCAGTCCAGAGCTCTTTCTGCCTGGCTGTGGTCCCTCTTGATGTGGATCTTTGTGCTTTTCTGCTCAGCCCCAGCCCCATCTCATTCCAGAGGCTCACCACAGTTGCCTCTTGCCAAGAACACACAGTCCTCTAGGAAAAAAGGCTGCCAGGACCAAGAGTGCCAGGGTAGGAGAGCCAGCCTGCCCAGAGCACGGGGAGCTGTGGTGGTGCTTGGCAGAGCACCTTGCTGCAAGTGGTGCAGGTAAGGCTCAGCTCGTGGGGCTGCCCAGCAGCCTGGCTGAGGTGTACTGCTAGCCAGGGCTGGGGCGAAGGGGCTCGCTCTGCAGCGTGCTGTCAGCAGCGCTGGTAATGTGCTGACAAACAGGAATTGCTGTGAGTGCACTGTTCCCCCTGGGAGACTGAACCCTGTGGAGGGGGAAAAGGAGCTGTGAGGCTCTGCACAAGGGCTTCAGCAGCAGGCTGCTGCTGGGAGCTGCTTCTCCGGTTAGGCACGCTCTTGGAGATGGCATGAATGGCCCAAACCCCGAGTTGCACCATCCTTTCCCCATGGTACTGGGAGTGAAGTGCTTGTGTCCTTGTGGGTGGAGGTCTGGCCTCAGTGCAGTGCTTAAATCAAGACCAATAGGAAAGAGACACGCTGCTTAGGAAGGCAGAGCTCTTTATAAATGTGAAGACAGACCCCAGCGAGCCCCCTCCAGGCAGACATTATGGAGCAGGCTGTGCAGGGCAGGCTCACAACAGCAACATGATCAGTGTATTTATTTACAGCATACAGATACAGGGGCAATTGCAGACAAATCTCTGCAAAGCCACAGCTACCACATACACCATGGGCTAATGCGACAGGCGCCCAGCAAGGGCACACTGATTCACAGTATCAGCAGTGAGCTGCCAGATGAATGTGCTGAGCCCTCCCGGGGCTCTGCAGGGACTGGTTTTTCACGGGAGGTCAGTCAGTGCAGCTGCTTGGCCGGTGCATGCCCTGCCTGACTGCCCGTCAGGAGGGCAAGACAGCACCAAACATCTAAGTGTGGGCCCAGGAGCCTGCAGCACCACTAGTGTTGAAGTCCTGGCTGGATAGATGGGGTCTAGGATGTGAGTTCAAATCCAGGTATCCCCTCCCTGTGCATGCCTCATCCTTTGGGAGAGACTCAGCCATCAATGGCTCCAGAGCGCAAAGAGGGCAGGCGTTCTGAGTGGGGACAGCCAGCAGTACTCCACCACGCTGTACAGCGCATAGCCCAGCAGCAAACCGCAGAGCACGTCCGTCACGTTGTGCCTGCCCAGCATGACCCTTGAAACGCCGACGATGAGAGCCCAGAGAACTATGAGGACTCGCAGCGGGACAGCAAGCACCAGGTGGTGCAGAACGAAGCGGCAGACCAAGGCGGCTCTGGTGGCGTGGCCAGATGGAAAGGAGTACTTGTCCACTGAGATGGTGACGAACATGTCCATCTTGTTGTGGGTGGGCCGCCGCCGCCTGACAAGCCCTTTCACCACTGCCACCAGCACGAGATCCAGCAGCAATGCTAGGAGACAGTAACAGTGAGTGAGCAAGGTTTGGTTTTTTCAGTGTTTTTTTCTTTCTTCATGGAAAATAAGGCAAGAATCAAAGCAAAGCCATTAGCTAAGAAGAAAGTGCTTGGCTACCAAAACCTGCTCAGAGAAGGCAGTATTTCCCACGTCTATGATGCCCAGGTGGGGAGAGTATGGCACTCGCGCAGTGCCTGGCCTTCTCCAGCGTGAGCACATCTTCAATCTCCACTCCTGCTGCGTGCAGCCCTTGTGCAGCGTCAGACCCTCCTCCCACCACAGCCAGCAATAGGACTTGGCCCAGCTCACACCCAAGGGCTTTTTTTTTCTGTGCAAAATCTGATCCTGCCATGACTCAGGGCTCAAACTGACCTTTAATCTGAAGGGAATATATGGGTTAATATTCCCCGCAACTCCCTGACAGCCCGTGCTGACTCAGCATTGCTTTGCCTACCCTTGTGGCTGCGGGTCAAACCAACTGGGTGAATAATCAACCCTCTTCAACCACGGCTCAGGATGAGGGGCCCCGAGCTTGTGTGGCACTGCCAGGGCTCCTGTGGTCTGGCTTCTCCCGGCTGCCAGGGGGATTAATGCCAGAAAGTTAACTGCGCTTTGGTTTTCAAGAGCTGAATAAAGGATGATTTAAATAATGGTGGTTTGGCCCCAGAGAGCTACAGGCTGTTGCGGTAGAAATCAGAGGCAAAGTGCCTCTGAGAAGCGTTCAGCCAGTATTTGGCAAGAGCAGCTTCTCACGTAGCATAGAGGGTTCTCTCTCTCTCCCTGTTAACTCAGGTAGTGCAGAGCTCCCAGTCAGGGCTACTTCTTCCAAGGAGGTCTTGTGAGAGCCTGACTTCTGCTTGTCTTAAGGCTTGTTTCTGGACACCAAATCTTTTAGTCACTTCAGTTCATTCCCTTTGGTTAATCATTTAAGAACAAATATTCCGCCCCCCTGCCCCCCCCCGCCCCAGGTAAACCTAATTCAGTTGCTTTTTCTCTTTTTCCATATCATTTGGGAGATTCAGCTTGGACACTAGGGAACAGTCCTTCCCCGCAAGGGTGCTGCAACCCTGCGATAGGGCCCCGGAGAGGTGGGTGGCTCTGGCCCAGAGCGATGAGGGCTGGACAAAGCTCTGGTGCTGGGACAGACCTCCTCGGAGCAGAGGTCAGGCTGGAGGCCTCCTGGTCCCTTTCCACAGCTCTGCTGTGAGACTAATTTAACCATGTGCTGCTAGATGAAAAAGATGTACAAAACTATATGCTTCCCACCAAACAAATTTCAATTCAAATGATGTGTGAGATACCAGTGATTTGCAACTTAATAACAGAGTAAGAACTAGAAACCTGAAAAGGTCTGTTGCTCTGGAGCTACTACAGTTTCTAAATGAGGAAAAATGAAGACTCTAAATATACCTAATAGAACAGAATGCTAGGGGGGGAATATTACACCACATTAAATTACAATGCATGCCGTACAGCGAGTTTCCTCACTGGCTGATATGGATCAATCCGTGCAGCTACTGCCTGCAGGGAGCAGACATCTGTGTCCCAGAATAGCTTTACAGGAAAAGGGCTGGTGTCTCAACAGTAGGCAGCTGCACCTGAAATGCGCTGTTCTGAGAGGGTGAAGATCTAAAAAATGGTTCAGTTCCCTGAAAGTTTTTGTGCAACTGCAGGAGCAGTTTAGCTGTCAGGAGTTTCGCAGTGTGTGATTGCGGCCACAACAGATAAACCATACCCATGCCACCACATCCTCTAGCTGCAGGGCTTCTCTCTCTCATACGTGGCACCCTAGATGAGCCTGTACCAGTTACTCAAAATCACCTGGCTCCCTCGGGGCTATAGGAGGCAGAGATTTACTCAGCTTTGCCCCGTCCTTCAGGTCCCATCCTCCCCCCTCGGCTCCAGCCAGCCCCTGCTTGCCGAGCCCTCCGGTGAGCCCCCAGCCTCACCGAAGAGCAGGTTGAGCAGCACCTCCCTGGCCGCTAAGCTGTCGCTCTGGTAGAGCCCGTAGATGGTGCCCAGCAGCCAGGGGATGCCGTGCCCCGAAACCTCGATGACCTTCATGAGGGGACGTGCGCTGCCCCAGGCCGAGCCCTCTCCGGCGCAGACGCCCAGGCGCTTGGAGGCCCAGAGGTCGATGGCGAGCAGGGAGCTGAGGGCGATGCCCAGGAAGGAGGGGTTCAGCTTCATGCAGTCCTCCTCGGG